CCCCAAAACCCCAAAACCCCAAAACCCCATAGTATGAAATATGATGATTAATGAAATTAAGAAAAATTTAGAGTGGTGCGAAATTAAATTAATCAAATAGTATCTTGATGAGGATTAGTAAAGGGTTTTGAGACCACTACATCGTAAAGTGATTCTGATTTGTAAGTAAGTTTTCCAGCTGGTCTAATTCTTTGAGTCCAGCAGGAAGGAAGTTGTTGATAATTTCTTGGATTTAATTCATTTTTTTATGCTGCAGTATTAGTAGGTATAATGCACATCGGAATGTATTGATTTCCCTAAATAGCACTGTTCTAAGATTAGTTCTAGACGATCAATAATTAGTTATTATTGGCATTTTAAGCCTGATAATCTGCATCTCCGATATCCTATCCCTCTTGAATCATTAAGTCAGGATTATTGGCTTAAAGATCAATTCTTTACTGATTAGATACTTCTTGGAGACCTAATAGTTATTTCCCATCAAATCTATCTTAATCATAAATCTAATCAATCTATATCTGATCCTATGGCTTAATCTAGCCTAAAATTGATTTAGGTTGATTATTGATAGTCTTTCCTTAAATCTATTATTGATGTATACCCTATTCCATTGAGTTCTCTTATGTTGTATGATTAGAATTGAAGTATTTGGTCTTTTAAAGATCTGGCTTGGCAATTTTAATAGATTTAGCTCTCTAAAGCTCCTTAGATCCTCTATCTTTGGGCATAATAGGATTTCTATGTTTTTGCTCTTCAATTTAATTCGGAGTTAATCTTATATCGTCTCTCACTTTTCTAGGGAGGTTTGGAACTCTTACTCCATTGTTTTTAGAGAGACCTTTGTTCAAAGCAGTGTCGTATGTTTATTAGTACTTAGGCAAATGCTCACCACTCTCTGGGTTTACATTATGAGTCAGCATATATTAGCCATAAACATTTCCACCAACTGCAGGATTAGTATTTCCTTTACCATAGAGATGAAAGGCTGGTTTACCAAAGTAAGTTGTAAAAGCAGAGTCAGGTAACCATCTTGTAGTAGAATTTAAATTTGCAATTCTGCCATCCATGTTCTTTTGTTTCGATTTCTAAGCCGATGCTGATCTTTTTGGATTCTTTTATTTTTTGTTCTTATCATTTTTAGAAGAGAGGTTTGGATCTCCATTTTCACCATCTCCTTAATTCACTATTCTAACAGATTTAGTATGGTTTTTATTGTCATCATCTTCGATATTGTAATGCCCATATTCATCAGCAAGACGACCTTAGCTTGACTGATTGTATTATTGATTTGGATGAACACCACCAGTACCTCCAATTTAATTTTAATTTTATTAAGCTATGCGACCTCCTTCTACCTTATTAGAATTATCATTAGGATCCTTTTTCTTTGGTGAATCGACAAAATATCTGTAGGTATCTCTATTCTCTGTTTTCCATCTGGAAGGACTTCTTTAGAGTTCCTGCATTTTCGTCTTTCTAAAAGATTCTGTCTAGCCATCATCCCATTAGAAAACATCTTTTATATTTTTAGCTTCTTCTTCAAACTTGATCTTCTTTCTACCAAAGTGAGCTTTGAATTCAGGTTCTAAAATTTCACGATTTATTAATTAACTATAATCTTACATTACTGCTAAAGCAGATCGAATTAGACAACTTAAGAATGATGAACCTTGTTGTCATTGATATGAGAACTAATACTCTGGTTAAGCATATTGATATGTTAAGATTGTAAAATAGGTTCATTATGGTGGTTCTAAACTTATTGAGATGATTATTGATGAAGAGGTAAGTAAGGATTAATCATATGCTATTGCTAAATTTGTTGTTACTTCAGTTCCTACTACTGTACTTATGTCAAGAAATGATGAGTAACAACAGCTTAACCAAATGTTATTGGTTCATCAGTGTACTTTGAGTCAACGAGAACTTGCTTGATAGCTTGAGAAACAGATTTTTTGAGTTGATTTTCAGTGATAACCGACATTTATTCTAATTTTAAATTAATTTACAAACGTTGATCCTAGTTCAAATTAATTATGATGGGGTTTTGGGGTTTTGGGGTTTTGGGG